GACTTGGAGAGAGAAGGAGAACACTCTGCGGCCTGCTGCTGAGGATGGAGGTTTCCGTGTGGTAGTCAACATCGGTCATCCCCAAGGTGACAACAGCAGTTTCGGAAAAGATGGGCACAGAAGCACAGAGGGGAAGAGGAAGTGGGAGCAGAAACTGTGCAGACATAAGAAAACAGTTCTTCACATCACAGCTGTGAGGGAAATGGGCAGGGACTTTAGGGCGTGTATCATAAAAAAGAGACTTTCAGATAATCAAGCTTTTTCTTTTTTCTCCTTTCTTAAATGTCCAGATTGAACCCAGGTCTTTGTTCATGCTGGGGAAGTTTTTACATTAGGCTCCACCCCCAGCCCTAAGCGATGTCTTTACAGTTTGGGGCATTTTCTTGTTTATTGTGTGTGCACATACATGCCTTAGCACACATGTAGAGGTCAGAGGATCTCTTGTGGGAGTGGGCACTCTCTGTGTCGTCTGGCTTGGCAGCAAGCACTGACGGCTGTGCCCTGGAGGTACAGACTCGATTTGAGACCTTGCGGAACTTCTTGTAGCAGGAGAGAAGGGAGTCTGAGAGCATGCTGGGTGAACGTTGGATGTTGTCTCCTCTCCTGAAATCCCACAGGACCAAGAATGAACAATGAGGCTTCTCCACTCTTCCAGTAGAGAGAACATTCTTGTCAGAGCCTTTTGCAGTCAGTTTCTTCCAGAATGCTTTCCCATCATGCATCTGTGGTGGTTGGCGGGAGATGTGAGAACCCTCTTTACCAATCCCCTTCCTTCTCCTTCAGGCGCAGCCCTGGGAGGCACTGGCACTAGCGTAGCAGCAGCTGGATTGAGGTCATTCTAGAAGCTTCCTTTAAAAAAACAAAACCACTGGAAACAATGTGGCTATAGTGGTCCCGCAAATAATTCTTTGCATGTACATGTTCATTTTATGCTTTGGTGGAGGCGGGGATGGAATCAAGGGCCTCAAGCATGCAGGGCAAGCACCCTAGCAGAGCTATGCCTCCAGGCCTGTGAGGGTCGTTTGGAGTAGAATATTGATTGGGCTTTAGCTTTGGCCTTGTCCACTGTCAGGGCTGCTGCATGCGACCACGAGCCATGCTGGTATTTATTGTCACATCGGTCATATGAACATACGCTTGTGATGAGCAGAGTTCATTTACCACACCCTCCAACACTGATGCTGTCACGTTTAAATCTTATGACTGTAACCATAGGACTTCCTATGGCTTTAAGTTGCATTCCTTTGATTATTAGCAATGACAGCATTTTTTTTTTTTTTTGTTGGTAATTTGGACTTTTTTTGGGGGAGGTGAGGATGTAGTCAAGGTCTCTTATTATCTTCCACTGGCTGTCCTGGAACTGGCTGTGTAGACCAGGTTGGCCTTGAACTCACAGAAGTCCTCGAGCCTCTGCTTCCTGAGAGCTGGGGTTAGATTGACCGTGCTGGCTGAGAGTCTTTTCATAGCCGAGGGAAGTGCTGTACCACTAAACCGCACTGCCAGCCCCATGAAACGTCCTTGAATGCGTTTGGCTGCTTGGGATTCTGCTATGAATGAGCCGGCCTTACTTTTCTCTTATTATTTTTTATTTAAAACTTGTTGTTAGATTTATTTTATGAGTGTTTCGCCTGAGTATATGTCTATGTACCATATGCACTCCTGGTGCCCACAGAGGTCAGAAGCCGGCATTGGATCCCTAGAACTGGAGTTATGGAGTTCTGAGCCACCGTGTAGGTGCAGGGAACTGAGCCGAGTCCTCTGCAAGAGAAACAAATGTTCTTAACTGCTGAGCCATCTCTCCACATCTTGAATTGTTTCTGGTTTTCTCATTACAATGTTTTGGTGTGGTTGGTTTTTTTTGTTTGTTTGTTTGTTTCTTCTTTTATTTTTGTTTTAGGTTTTGTTTTGAAGTAGGGTTTCTCTGTGTAGCCCTGGCTGTCCTGGAATTAGCTTTGTAGACCAGGCTAGTCTGGAATGCACAGAGATCTGTCTGCTTCTGCTGGGATTAAAGGCGTGTGCCACCACCACCTGGCTTCTCAATGTTTTATGGTATCTTTGTGTGAAGAAAAATTTCTAACTTTAATGATGATAACATTTATCATCAACCCTTTTCCTTATAGTTTGCATTTCTTTGGGTATTACTTATTTTGATTTTTAGAGATGGAGTCTTGCTGCATAGTCTTGGTTGGCCAGAACTCTTTATGTAGGTCAAGCTTACCTTAAATTTCCAGCACTTCTTGTCTTCTGAATGCTGGAATTACACGTGTGCCACCACACCCAGATGTTCATCGTTTGTTTGTTTTGTTTTGTGTGCTCGTACACATGTGTGTATGTCATGGAATACATGTGGAGACGAGAGAATTACCTGTGGAAGTCACTTCTCTCCTTCTACTATGTGGGTCCCGAGGAACTGAACTCATATCATCACGCTCTAGTGGCACGCTTTAGTACTCTTCCTTGCGGAGCCGCTCATAGGCCCTATATTTTTCTTTCTGAGTCAGGGTCTCATGTAGCTCAGGTTGGACTCCAACTCTTACATGGAGGACTGCCTTGAACTCTTGATCAAGAACTAGGATTGCAGGTGTGCACCACCCTCCCTGTCCTGCCTATACTTGCTTTTTAGAGCATGATATTGTTTAAACAATATGCTGGGTGTGATGGGGCACACCTTAAATCTCAACACTGGGGAGGCAGAAGCAAGAGGATCACTGTGAGTTCCAGGCTAGGCAGGGCTACATAGTGAGGCCTGATCTCAAACTAACCAAGCCACCAACCAACCAACCAACCAACCAGCCAGTCAACTTACCAGCCAGCCAACCAGACAGTCAGCCAGCCAGCCAACCAACCAACCAACCAGCCAGCCAGTTAACCTACCAACCAGCCAGCCAGCCAGCCTGCCAGGGAAGATCTCAATATCAGCTTTGAACTGGCTGATGGGGGAAGGGGGAGAATAACTGAGAAATTTTCACTAGACATCTTTTGTTGCTTATACTGTGTGTGTGTGTGTGTGTGTGTGTGTGTGTGTGTGTGTAGGTCACAGGACAACTTTGTGGAGTCAGTACTCTCGTTCACCTAGAGTTTCAAGGACTGGACTCACATCGCCAGGCTTAGACCGCAAGTGCTTTACCAGCTAACACAGCACTTTGCCTAGAATCACTCCACAGTTTGCTTTTCCTATTGAAAGGGCCTGGACTCTGACTGTTGACACTCTTTCTATAAAGCTGAACCTTGCCCACTGCAAAGTCTCACTGGCCGAAGCTCTGTTTTCTGTGGCTTCCTCGAGAATGCTTGCAGAGTCCTCCAAATTTTCTCTTTTGAGTCTTACTATTTCCTTTTTTGAATGGCTATCAGGCTTCCTTAATCAGTCTTTTAAAAAAAAACATTTGTTATGTAGGTTTAGAAAGCAACGTTTTAAATCAGAGTAGCTGCAATACAAAGCATTCCACAACCTTCAGTTCTCTGGAGCGGATCCTGTGCCACACAGTTGAGAGTTCAATGTGCACAAACTTTGTTCTATGAACAAAAGTAGCAAAAATAGTGTTCTTTAGAAAAAAAAATCATTAAGCCAGGCAATGATGGCGCAAGCCTTTAATCCCAGCACTCTGGAGGCAGAGGCAGGCGGATCTCTGTGAGTTCGAGGCCAGCCTGGTGTACAGAGCTAGTTCCAGGACAGCCAGGCTACAGAGGGGTGTGTGTGTGTACGCACGCGCAACAAGCCATGGCACACAAACGGAAGTCAGAAGAACTCATGCCTCTGTTGGTTCCCTCTTTCCATGTGGGTGCTGTGAACAGAACTCAGGTAGTGCCTTTACCTGCTGAGCCACCTCACTGGCCACTTTTTCTTTTCTTTATTGTTTTATGACACAGGGTTTCATGTAGCCCAGGCTAGCCTCAAATTTACTGTGTAGCCAAGACTGGCCTTGAACTTCTAACACCACCTTCTAAGTGCTGGAATTGGGGCCACCACACCAATGCACATATTAAGATTTCCTTCAGAATGTGTGTTTTCAGAGTTATATGAAGCAGTGAATTTCATGTTTAGAACTGGGTTCCATTCCCAAGATCTCTCAGGCAGATGTAAATATTCCAGATCCCAAGTCCAAAACTGTTTTTTTTTAGGGGGGGGTCCTAAATATTTCAGAAAAAGGGAATTTATTCTGAAATCTCCAGTTATCGCTTATGTTAGTGCTTTAGTTTTGAAACTGCATTGTGAGTTCTAATACCCCAGGCAAGCTGAACGCAAGTGTTCTCCTGTACAGCCAACCTCTAGTGTGGGCCATCTCTCAGGACAGGTGTCCTGTACACTGTACACCCCATTTCTTCTTCTGGCCAGATGTTTCCCCACTGTCCCTTCTTTTCTTCTTAAAGATTTTTTTATTTATGTGTGTCTGTGTGTCAGTGTTTGGGTTTCTGTATGCATGTGATACCCGAGGAGGCCAGAAGATGGCATCAGATTCTCTGGAGCGTGCATTACAGGCAGATGTGAGTCCCTGGGGTGGGTGCTGGGAATAGAACTCAGGACTTCTGCCAAAGCAACGAGTGCTCTTAACCTCTGAGCATCTCTCCAACCCAACCATCCTTTGTAATCTTCAGAGAGCACAGAACTTCAGAACAGACAGTCCTAGTACCATCCCTTCATTTTCCAGGAGAGGGAGAACTGTCTTGCTCCCCAACTGCCGGGAGAGCCACAGGCAACCACCCGGGCAGACCCGTGCCCCTGCACGGGCTCACTTTCTCTCCATGTAGCCTGACGCTCAGTCAATCTTTTCTGATGTTCAGGTGCAGACCCATGACCTACCCCAAGCTGGCCCAAGTGCCTTGTGAAGTTAGCCATCATGTGGCTAGTCCCACTGAGGAGAGATGAAGACCCAAGGGAGATGTGGTGGACAGGAGGGTACTGTGAAATGTGTGGTCTTGGGGACAGATGATGGAAGGGCAGCAGTGGGTTAAAGTTAACGCCAGACGATGATGCAATCACAGAGTTCAAATTGAGTCAGGTCACTTTAAGAAAGGAGTAGCTGTAATCTGAAGCCTGCTGGACGCTGGGTTGGGAGGCAGCTATTCACTCCTCTGCTTGCTAGAGCCCCCTCAGGGTGCAGGCTGAGAGGGACCTCGGCTGAGAGAGGAGCTGCAGCAGACCACAGGTAAGGCAGCTCCTGGTCTAGCCTGGAGATGACAGATGGGAGAGGACCCCTGGCTTGAGGGACTGGGAGGGGCAGGAGTACCCCAAAGACCAGAAAAGAGGAGTGCAGGTAAGGATACAGTAGCCTCTGCAGTTTAGGGACCAATGTGAGCAGATGAGAGGGAAGAGGGAATTGGGGGACGGAGGGACGGGATGCCCCTATATTATCCCACTGCAACAAAAGGAGAGGCTAGATGGGGTTTTGAATGGAGTTGGGAAACAATGTGGTGGTGGTGGGCAGTGGGAAGTGGGGGAGCCAAGCTCTGGGTTTGGTCTGAACAGTATCCCAAAGGGGCTATCATCCTACAGGCAGGGTTCTCCCTGGACTTGCTTCCTCCAGCAGTGAGCAAGGAAAATGGTCTTCCTGCAGCCCAGCTTGGCTCCACTCACTCATATTGCTGCTTTGCACAGTCAACTGGTGCTGACCTCCCCCCACCCCAGCAAGGAGCAGCTGAGTCCTGCTGGCATGGGATGCCTGCTAGGTCCACTGTCCAGCCCCCACCCATTCTCCGTTACCAAGCGAATGGGAGACAAATGAGGTCATGGCCTCTTGCAAACAATAAGAACCATTTAGCCGAGCTGGTGTGTGGGGTCTGGCTGTCCTGCTGCAGCCTTACCTCCTGAGGAAGCCACAGCAGAGAGTAGTCTGGGTCAAAGAAAAGAGACAGGTTTTCCAAGTGCCAGCCACTGTCTGGACCTTAGCCGCCCATCAGTTCAGCTCCCAGGCTGAGGGGGATGGGTGAAGGCCCAGGAGTTCTGGTCCCAGGGCTGGCTTTTCTGGGGTGTTGGGAGGTGCAGCTATAGGTGTTTCAGGTTCCAAGATTTCAGAAAACAAAACAAAACTGCCCCGGAGGTGAATGGTGTAGCCATGAGCCAGCCAGACTGGACCCCTGGAAATAGTCCTTGGGCCAGTGGAGAGGGAGGTGTCCTCCCCTGCACTGTCCACATGTCCACTGCCGTGTGGCTCGAAGGCTGCTTGGTTCTGGGAGGAGGCGGCAGTGGAGGAGGAGCAACATGTTTGTCTCCCGGCTGGGTTTAATCTGAAACACATGTACTGGCTCCCATTTGTCGTCCCAGCTCAGATTCGAGACCACAACAGCACAGTTTCTGTGCCTCTTGATTTGGGGCAGACCTTGGCTCAGAGGTGGGATCTCGACCCTTTCCCATGTTCTCCCCCACCTGTAGCCCAGGAGTCTGGCTTGGACATCTGCCCTTTGGACAGAATCATAGTCCTGGTGCCCCTGGGTAGCCAACAGCTGCCTACCCAGCCCAGTTATGGCTCCCAGGGCCTTGCATGTGTCCTATGGAGCCACTGCTGCGGTCCCTCACTTTCTGCCCCTCCTGCCACTTCCTTAATTCCTGTGACTTCGGGTGGAGAATTCAGACAGCCTACTAACACCTGTTCCTGCTTATAGCTCCTGGGCCAGCAATGGACCCCTGTGTCTCCCCACGCCTACCAGGTTCCCCACCTCAGTTTCAGTTCTCAGTCTACCCACGTGGTAACAATGACCTGTCACTTAGACCTGGAGGAAATCCAGGAGGTCCCATCTGCAAGTGTATCTCACTTATTTCCTGGATTAGGATGCCAAGGGTGACCATCGCCTCCCTTCTCTTGGTCACTACCCACCCAGAGGGACCAGAGGCTTTCTGTGCATCTCTGATAAATCAGTCTGTTGGGGTTCAGCAGAGGAAGGCTGCTGCCTGTGATGGGTGGGGCTGGGTGGGGCGGGCTCCAGTCTGTATCACTTTCTCTGTTGTGCCAAAGGGTTTTCTCCCTACGAAGCTGGGAGGCAGTACCCCTGGGTGAGAACACAGGGGTCCCTAGAATTCCCACTGGAGATCTGTCATACATGAGGGGTTAGAAAGAGAGAGGCTGGTTCCTGCTGGTGGTGCTGCCGGAAGCAGAGTAAACTCAGAGAGCCTTTCTCATGTTGGGCTCTGGTCGTCTAGTGAATTATTTGACTTAACTTGAAGGACCTCAGCCAACAGGTACAGCCTGCACTCCTAACATTTTAGATCCAGTTTGTTCTGGGAAGTCAGAAAAGTTGGTGATGTGTGTGTGGTGGGGGAGGGCAAGTGTATGTGACAGGATAACGGTGGAAATGAGGGGGTACTTCTGGGGGTGCGTGCTGTAGGATGGGTGGAGGGCATGCCAGGACAGATTGTGGTCTTTTCTTTCCAGGATGAGTTTTTCTGTGGACCTTGTCCCCCACCCCTAGACCTGACTTCAGGGGAGCACAGGAATGATTCGTGAGGACCCACATCCCAGATTTCAATTTTGCCTTGTAGTCCAAGTGCCAGGCCAGAGTCTGGGCAGGGCAGCAGGCAGGCAGGCAGCAGACAGCAGGCAGCAGGCAGGCAGGCAGCAGGCATGCAGGCAGATAGGCAGCAGACAGGCAGGCAGCAAGCGTGCAGGTAGGCAGATAGGCAAGCTCTGGGGTTAAGAGCAGTTTTCATGCTAGTGGGTGGGGGAAGTCGTGGGTCATCAGAAGAGATGCCAGCGGGAGGAACAGCTGAGATCTTCCCAACCTCTGGCTCTGCTAAGGGCTGCTAAGATATTGTCTAGCAGATGTGACTGTGACCTGTGACCTCAGTACTTGGGAAGCAGAGGTAGGAGGATCACACATTCAAGGCCACCCTGAATATAGCAAAACTGTCTCAAAGAAGAATGGTGGGGGGAGGTTATATAATTTAAGCTTCATAACAGCAGGTAAGAACTACAATGCCAGGAGGGATTTTTTCTTTGGATAGCTATGAAGTCAGGGTTAGAGCCCAGGCAGTCTACACCCTCTTAGCTAAGTAAGGAATTGCTCTTGAGATGGAAGAATGGGGCCAAGTCAGGCATGGTGGCACACACCTGGAATTCCAGCACTCAGGAGGCAGATGAAGAGAGTAGCTGCAAGTTCAAGGCTAGCCTGGGCTACATAGGCAATATCCCATCTTTAAAAAGAAGGGGGGGGTGAGGGGCAAATACACAGGACAGAGTGTCTTTATCCTAGGTTTTTGGCCAGAAAACTTTTGGTGGATAGCAGGGCTAGACCAGATGGTCTGTGAGTCTCTGAAGACCTAGGTTCTGCTCCCATGCTGAGACGGGCTCCAAATCCTACCAAAGGAGCCGGCTGTATGCACCCATGGGAAAGCCTTGGTGCGTGTCTGTTCTAGACGAGTTTCTTGGGGCCAGAAGAGCCCTCAGCAGGTCCTCACTACTCTGGTGCTTAGGCTGGAAGGTGGGTCTCCCGACAGGAGCCACAGCTCATGTGCAGTGGCAGGTGCAGTTGGGACAGCAAGCCTCAAGCTGAGAGCCCATTTTGGGGTCAAGAGCTGGAAGGAAAGTGCTCACCCCACTGTGTGGCAGGGCAGGGTGTGGGGGAGGGGAGTCGCTTGCCCTCTTTTTTCTCCTGTAGTTTCAGGATGCAGGCCCTGGTGCTACTCCTCTGGACTGGAGCCCTGCTCGGGTATGGCAGCAGCCAGAATGTCGCCGGCAGCTCTGAGGTCAGTAGGGTGGGCAGGTGTGGGCAGCAGCTGTTCTAGCCCCTCCTCGGCTGGCAGCAGAGGAGCCAGCACAGGACGACAGCGTTGGGTGCAGGGCGGGTTCTGGCCTTCATTCCTCTAGCAGCAAGACAAGTATTTGCCTCACCTTTCCAGGTGTAGAGAAGCCTCTGCTGTATGGAGGAAGTAGGTGTAGGGTCCTGTCACACAAGGGACAAGGCAGTTGGATATATTAGCTATGGCCCTGGGCACTGTGGGTTCTGAGTTTGGGTTAGGGCTTGTCAGGAGAGACAGGGAGAATGTCACAGCAGAACCTAGGTGGACTCAGAAGAGTCCGAAATGGTAAGCAGAGAAGAGTGTGGTATGTGGCCTGAGGAGAGGTTTCTTTGGTGGTGGTGGTGGAGGGGAGGTCTCCTGCAGAGAGACAGAGAGACATAGAGACAGAGTGTTTGTAGGCTAGCCTTAGTTTCTGAAACAGGACCCCTCACTGGCTTGGAACACACCGACTAGTCCAGGCTCAAGGGCCAGCCGCACAGACCTGCCCATTTCTCCTTCCCCAGTGCTGAGATTACAAGCGTGCACCACCTCGCCCAGCCTTTATTGCCTGCCTTCTGGGGATTGAATCCAGGTCCTCATGTTGTCGGGCCAGTACTTTACTGAGCTAGCTCCCCAGCCCGACCAGTTTTATTTTAAAGTAGGCCAGGCTTCCTGCTCTCAGGTCACAGGTCAAGCCTGGCGAGCCTCTTGCCTCTCTCCAGTATAGAGGAGGGCACACACTCATTCCAACTTAGACTAATGGCCCCCAGGGACCAGAGGACAACCCCAAGCAGGAGGCGATGCCATTCACTGTGCCTTCCCACTGGTCCTTGTGTTCTGACCCAGGGCTCTCCAGCCCCTGACAGCACAGGGGAGCCAGTGGAGGAGGAGGACCCCTTCTTCAAGGTTCCTGTAAACAAGCTGGCAGCAGCCGTTTCCAACTTCGGCTATGACCTGTACCGCCTGAGATCCAGTGCCAGCCCAACTGCCAACGTTCTGCTGTCTCCACTCAGTGTGGCCACAGCCCTGTCTGCTCTTTCTCTGGGTGAGTGTCAGCCGAAGGGGGCTGCAGGTGGACCTGAATTTCCCCACCCTGGGCCTCCATGCCTAGGCTGCCAGGGGAGCAAAGGGAAGGTGGGGGCTGCAGTCCTGGCCGCACACAGGCGCACGCGCGCGCGCGCGCGCGCACACACACACACACACACACACATACACACACACACTTCCTACCACTTTAAGAAAGTGACACTCTCCTTGGTTCCGTAAGTGAACCCCTATTGTGTTAGTCATTTACCCAGGATCTAGGGGTACAGCTGCCAGGAGCAGGTTGGGGTTCCTGCTCAGAATGGGTATAGGTAATGATGGACTTCAGGGACTGCATCCCAGCCGTCTCTCTGTAGGTCTGATGGCCTTGGCCTAGTTTAGAGACTTTTCCTAGCAATGTAGTCCTTGATTCCCTGAAACTTTTTGTCCACCTACAATGTCTGCAACATCGGCCTCCTCGGGTTCTCAGAAGACAAAAGATCAGGTATAGAATCTCCCTGTCTGCTGTGGGTCCCCTGGGCAGCTGTGAAGCCCGCCATCCTCTTCTCCTTGGCAGGAGCTGAACAGCGAACAGAGTCTGTCATACACCGGGCTCTTTACTACGACTTGATCAGCAACCCTGACATTCACGGCACCTACAAAGAACTCCTTGCCTCCGTGACTGCCCCTGAGAAGAGCTTCAAGAGTGCTTCCAGAATTGTGTTTGAGAGGAGTCAGTAGCCCACCCCATCCCACCCCTTAAAGTCTATGTCATCCAAACTGGCCCCATGACTTATAGTGCTGCCTCTGCTTTCCAAGTGCAGACACGCGCCATCATGCCTGACACGAGGTTGCTTTTCTGGCCCCGAGTCGCCTGTATGCTCCATGCTGGGCTTCTGTCTAAACAACAGACTGTGTGTGCTCAGGCCAGGCTTGGCAGTAGTGGGCAGGAAGAGGCCTGTGAGACCACAGAGGATCGGAAAGAGGAAATGGGCTGTGGGAGACAGCAGGAGGGTCTGGGGAGGGCAGTAACATGAAGGGGATTGCAATGGGTAGAATCCATTGTTCCCTGTCCAGGGTCTGGGCAAGCCAGCAGATGCCCCAGCAAGTCAGGAGAAGATGCTGGGCAGGAAGCTGGGGTCTGGCATGCTTTCAAAGTGAGGGCGCTGGCTCTACTCTCATACACTAATCTTTGATCTGCTCCCTCTCAAGAACTTCGAGTAAAATCCAGCTTTGTTGCACCTCTGGAGAAGTCTTATGGGACCAGGCCCAGAATCCTCACTGGCAACCCTCGAATAGACCTCCAGGAGATTAACAACTGGGTGCAGGCCCAGATGAAAGGGAAAATCACTCGCTCCACAAGGGAAATGCCCAGTGCCATCAGCATCCTCCTCCTCGGCGTGGCTTACTTCAAGGGTGAGGGCTTCTCGACTTCTCTTCGGCCAAGGGAGGGCAGTGTGAGTGTGTGTGCGTGTGTGTGTGCGTGTGTGTGGTGAACACGACGACGCAGGTGCAAGGCCAGAGGAGGATATGAAAGCCATGTGTGCTTGCCTTTCTGCTTGGCATTTACCACGTGTCTCTGAACTAGGTGGCAGGTGAAATGGCTGAGTGGGGCTGGCCACAGATCTCTGGCTCCGAATCAGACCAGGTTGAATTGTGGCTGTGCCCTGTGAGCACAGAACCCTAAGTTTCTCCTGAGGCGCCTGTCTCCTCAGCTTTCCTGTGACAATTACACAGAGACTTCACACTCTGTACAATATATGAGGTATTGTTCTCACAGCGACCCTGTCCTCCTGAGACCCCACCTGTGCTCAGGAAGCTGCTTCCAGTGACCTGTCAACACTCCTGGAGGCAGCAGTAATGCAGCAGGAGGCCCTTCCACAGGCCTCACAAGAGGTCTGCTTTTTTCAGAAAAGGGCTTGTGGCAGAAACAGTTTGGCTAATTTCCCTCTTAAGACACGACCCTCTTTCCGAGTAGCAGCAAGAGTGGACGCCTAACCTAGAGGGAGGCCCCGGGGCTCCCTGCTCCAAGTACACAGGGGCTAGGAGAGCAGGTATAACCCAGCATATGAAAGGCCACCTTAGACAAAAGGAGCTCGGTGATCCAAGCACAGTGACAACACCCACTTATTTCCACCCGAGTTTCCTTAGGGAAGACAGCCAGCATCTGCGGTCCATTGACCCTGCGGTCAACCCCACACATGCTGGGACCCAGCAGCTCCTGTGTCCATGCTACTGACAGCTCAAAGTCCCCTGGCCGATGGAGACCCAGCCTGGTCCCCTGGCCTTTCCGGTGACAGTGGCTCAGAAGCTCCATATGTTTCCTTCCAGGGCAGTGGGTAACAAAGTTTGACTCGAGAAAGACGACCCTCCAGGATTTTCACTTGGATGAGGACAGGACTGTCAAAGTCCCCATGATGTCAGAACCCAAGGCCATCTTACGATATGGCTTGGATTCTGATCTCAACTGCAAGGTCTGTAGGGATGGGGGGGGGAGAGGCGGAGGGGACGGAGAGGGGCAGGGTGGTATGGAGTGGATGCCACTGACATCGGCCAAGCATCTTAATTTTATTGTGTGACTTTTGCCAAGTTAGTAATGTTCCTTGGCCTTTCCTTTTCCTCCTCTTCCTCTTTTTTCTGGGTTTTCAAGACAGAGCTTCTCTGTGTGTCCCTGGCTGTCCTGGAACTGCCTCTATAGGTGAGGCTGGCCTCGAACTCAGATCCACCTGGTTCTGCCTCCTGAGTGCTGGTATTAAAGGTGTGCACCACCACTGTCTGGTGTCTTTCCTTTTCTTGAAGTGGAGTGAGAAGTAGTTATCAGAACTTACTCTCCAAGAATTTGTTATAAGAATCAAGGTCATAAAAAACAGGTTTTCAAGACCTGGCACCCAGAGCTGGGGATGGTGACAGATACCTGTAATGCCAGCAGTCAGGAGACTGAGGTAGGGTGATCAAGAGCCCAGTCTGTACTTTGAGACCATCTCAAAAACAGAAATGGGGGCTGGAGAGATGGCTCAGCCGTTAAGAGCACTGACTGCTCTTCCAGAGGTCCTGGGTTCAATTCCCAGCAACCACATGGTGGCTCACAACTACCTAAAATGAGATCTGGTGCTCTCTTCTGGCCTACAGGCAGGATACTGTATAAATAAATAAATAAATAAATCTTAAAAAAAAAACAAAACAAAAACAAAAAACAGAAATGGGCTTGAACAATGGCTCAGTGGTTAAGGGCATTGGCTGCTCTCTCTGAGGAGCCAGGTCCTATTCCCCAGCATCTACATGGCAGCTCATGATTGTCTGTAAGTCCAGTTCCAGGGGATCCAGCACCCTCTTCTGGCCTCTGCAGATATCAGACATGTGTGTGGTGCATAGGCAACCACTCATGCACATACAAACAAAGAAACAAAGGCTAGGCACTCACTGGGGAGTACCAGTGGTAAAGTCCTGCCTCGTACGAGCAAAGCACTGGGTTTAATCCTTAGTACAGCCAGAAACAAAACAAAGAAAGAAAAAGACTTGGCACTCAGGTGTTGATTATTTCTTTCCTTTTTTCTTTTTGAAAGGGAGCCTCGTGTAACTCAAGCTGGCCTCAAACTTACTAGCTGAGGATGACCTTGAACTCCTGATCTTCCAAAGGCAGGCATTGTAGGCGTGTGCCACCACCCTGGTTAATGTGGTGCTAGGGATCAACCCACAACTTCACGAAGGTTGGCATGTGCTCTCCTACTGCGCCGTGCCCAACCCAAAGCTGCCTTTTCCTGACAGTGCCTCTTCTTAGAATTAAGAGCCAGATTCCGACAGCTTGTCACAAATGTCACACACTGACATTCCAAAGCTCTCGGTGTTCCTGACTTCTTTCAGTTCTAAGTCAGTAGTTACTAACCCCTTCTAGACTATGGTTTCTTTGGAAATCTGACAGAAGTGCCCGAAACAGTGGGCTATGGTGGCACATTTTAATCCAGCACTGGGGAGGCAGGAGTAGGTGAATCTCTGTACGTTTGAGGCCAGTCTGGTCTATATACAAAGTTCCAGAGCAGCATAATAGAGAGACTTGTCTCAAAAAAAAAAAAAAAAAAGCCTGATACAGTCCAGAGAAATGACATTTCCGTAATATGGTTGCACGGGTTCTGGGAAGCCCTGACAGTGAGAGTTCCATGGCCTTACTTAGGTCAAAGGATCTGTTTTAGTGTTCATTTCTAGTCCAGGGCTCTGTAAATGCTGGCAGGGAGACTCTGGAGGACATTCAACTCCAGCTCCTGAGAACTAGGTCCTGGTTAGTGTTAGCGGCATCCAGAAGAGGGCAACTGAGGAAATGCCCCCAGCAGGCTGGCCTCTGGGCACACTTGTGGCGCATTTTCTTGATTAATGACGGATGCGGGAGGGCCCAGTCCACCATGGGCTGTGCCACTCCTGAACACGTGGTTCTAGCTGGTCTAAACAGGCAGGCTAACGTGCCATGGGGGAGTAAGCCAGAAAGCAATGTTCCACTATGGTCTCTGCGTCAGTTCCTGCCCTGAGTTCCCTTGGTGATGAGTGTGACCTCAAAGTTCTAAGATGCAATAAGCCCTTTCCTTGCCAAGTTGCTTTTGGTATACTTTATCACAGCAATAGAAATCCCAACTAAGATAAACCACACGCTAGAAAATTTTCATCAAATTTCCACTGGTGTTAAGCCGAGGAGAAAACTGCCTATCCCTGAAGGACTGGCAGGCCAGCAAAGGCCAGCTGTTGCCAGGCTGGGGCTGGGGCTGGGGCCCGTGCCAGGAGAGGGAAACAGCTCCTGGATATGGGGTTTCGCCTAGAACCAGCTCACCTGTTCTCTGTTGTTAGATTGCCCAGCTGCCCTTGACCGGACGCATGAGCATCATCTTCTTCCTGCCCCTGAAGGTGACCCAGAACTTGACCATGATAGAGGAGAGCCTCACTTCTGAGTTCATCCATGACATAGATCGAGAACTGAAGACGATAGAAGCCGTGCTGACCATCCCCAAGCTCAAGCTGAGCTACGAAGGGGAAGTCACCAAGTCTCTGCAGGAGATGAGTATGTCTGCAGGACCACTGCCGCGGGGGCTGGAACTGGGCTTCCACCCTGCTGACAGAACTTCTAGGGTGGCCCTGCGCACTCGCTACACTCTGAGGGAGGGGACACAGAACCCCTTTCCCATCAGACTTAGTCCTTGGTCCCCTGAGCACGTCTCAGGCCAGGCCTGTTTCCCTTGCTGGCTCTGCTCTCAGGTAGGGCACTGAGCCTGGGGTGGCTCAGAGCACATTCACACCTCACAGGGCAAAGCGGGGCTCCACTCCTAGCTTGCTTTCTTGAGATTCAGCTTTCACAAGCCAGGATTGTGTGTGTGTGTGTGTGTGTGTGTGTGTGTGTGTGTGTGTGTGCGCGCGTGCACGCGAGGTGGACAAGGAAGGCTTTAATGAAATCTCTCTCAATCTCTACAGAACTACAGTCCTTGTTTGAGTCACCTGACTTCAGCAAGATCACAGGCAAACCTGTCAAGCTCACCCAAGTGGAACACAGGGCTGCTTTTGAGTGGAATGAGGGGGAAGACAGCAGCCCCATCCCAGACCTCCAGCCTGTCCGCCTCACCTTCCCGCTAGACTATCACCTTAACCAACCTTTCATCTTTGTCCTGAGAGACTCAGACACAGGGGCCCTTCTCTTCATAGGCAAAATTCTGGACCCCAGGAGCACTTAGTGCTTCTACTCAGTGTGCTCAAGGAGAAAACCCTAGTGGGATCGCCGATTATACATTCCAGGAAGGCTGCCCTACAGCTTCAATGTATCCTTCGCAATAAAAGAGCTTTTCCTTAGTTTCTGCTACTTTCTTCCTTCTGTTTGAAGCTATATTTAGTATGGAGGAAAACCAGTCGTTATGAATTTACATACTCATAACTGGCTCTGCTCAAGGCCCGCAGAAACTCACCTGTTCCTGTTCTGGGGGGGGCTGGTGAATGAGGAGGACTCGCACCCGCCTCCCAGGAGGGCACCCCCACCCCCACAACTACTGAAGCCTGCTGTGGTGCTGCTCAGCTTTCTCTCACTCTAACACAGGCCTGGGGAAATCCACAGCTGTTTTAGAGGCCCCAGCCCGTGACTGGGCCCTTGCTTTGGGGCCTGTGATGAAGCAGCATTGCAGCTTGTCTGATGACCTGGAAGCAAACAGAAAAGAGGCCAGAGATCCCCTTGGTCGCCCACCTCCCATTAGGCACCCCCCCCCCCCCCCCCCCCCCCCCCCCCCCCCCCTCGCCGC